TGGAAAAAGCCAAAGGAATAGGAGTAGGTCGCAAGGGGCGTCGGTTAGAAATACAAGCGGGTGGGGGGTGCAGGGGGGAGGGCGCAGCGCCTCCCCCCGCAATGCGTAGCAAGCAAGAAGCACCAAGAAAGAAGCACATAGGAAAACAAATCCTTGAAGCTGATGGAAAAAGCAAAAGGAATAGGAGTAGGTAGCAAGGGGCGCCGGGTAGAACATACAAGCGGGTAGGCGGGGTACAATGCGTACCAAGCAAGAAGCCCCGCAGTACGTACCAAGAAAGACGCACGTCGAAGCTAGTCTCCATGCATCTTGACAAAGATCAAAAAAAAGATGAGTAAGGTGAACTCAAATAAACGTTGCTCATGACGAGAAGGAATGAGAGAAGCTAAGAAGGGGGGCCGAATCAAGCATACAAGCGGTTCGCCTACACGAGCCGGGGCGAGTTTCATGGACTTTAGCGGGGGTTGAGAACCCCCCCGGGTTAACTCGAACCCTCGAACTCGAACTCGAACTCCTCCTCCCCCCTGCAATGCGTAGCATGACAGACGTACGAAGCAAGCAACACCCACATCGTTGATGATGATAATGGAAAAAGCCAAAGGAATAGGAGTAGGTCGCAAGGGGCGTCGGTTAGAAATACAAGCGGGTGGGGGGTGCAGGGGGGAGGGCGCAGCGCCTCCCCCCGCAATGCGTAGCAAGCAAGAAGCACCAAGAAAGAAGCACATAGGAGAACAAATCCTTGAAGCTGATGGAAAAAGCAAAAGGAATAGAAGTAGGTAGCAAGGGGCGCCGGGTAGAACATACAAGCGGGTAGGCGGGGTACAATGCGTACCAAGCAAGAAGCCCCGCAGTACGTACCAAGAAAGACGCACGTCGAAGCTAGTCTCCATGCATCTTGACAAAGATCAAAAAAAAAAGATGAGTAAGGTGAACTCAAATAAACGTTGCTCATGACGAGAAGGAATGAGAGAAGCTAAGAAGGGGGGCCGAATCAAGCATACAAGCGGTTCGCCTACACGAGCCGGGGCGAGTTTCATGGACTTTAGCGGGGGTTGAGAACCCCCCCCCGGGTTAACTCGAACCCTCGAACTCGAACTCGAACTCGAACTCCTCCGCCCCTCCCCCCGCCAAGATCTCGGATCCCAACCTTGGAACCAAACTCGAACTCGCAGCCCCCCCCCCTCTCCTGCACGCCAAAAAAAGAACCTCTCGTACCGAGAAAAAAGCACAAAGAACGAAGCACATAGGAACCCAAATCACTAATGTTGATGGAACAAGGAAAGGGAATAGGAGTAGGGAGCAAGAGGCGCCGGTTACAAAATGCTGCCGTGCGGACCAAGAAAACAAAAAGAGGAACCCAAATCGTTGCTGCTGATGGAAAAAGCAGAAGGAATAGGAGTAGGTAGCAAGGGGCGTCGCTTACGAAATATAAGCGAGTAGGCGGGTGCAGGGGCCAGGGATGCGGAACACTAAAGAAGCACATAGGAACCCAAATCATTGATGCTGATGGACAAAGCAAAAGGAATAGGAGTAGGTAGCAAGGGGCGTCGCTTACGAAATATGAGCGAGTGGGAGGGTGCAGGGGCCAGGGATGCGGAACAATAAAGAAGCACATAGGAACCCAAATCATTGATGCTGATGGACAAAGCAAAAGGAATAGGAGTAGGTAGCAAGGGGCGTCGCTTACGAAATATGAGCGAGTGGGCGGGTGCAGGGGCCAGGGATGCGGAACAATAAAGAAGCACATAGGAACCCAAATCATTGATGCTGATGGACAAAGCCAAAGGAATAGGAGTAGGTATCAAGCGGCGCCGGTTACAACATGAAAGCCGGTCGAACTGTGCCCTCCCCCCTGCAATGCGTAGCATGACAGACGTACGAAGCAAGCAACACCCACATCGTTGATGATGATAATGGAAAAAGCCAAAGGAATAGGAGTAGGTCGCAAGGGGCGTCGGTTAGAAATACAAGCGGGTGGGGGGTGCAGGGGGGAGGGCGCAGCGCCTCCCCCCGCAATGCGTAGCAAGCAAGAAGCACCAAGAAAGAAGCACATAGGAAAACAAATCCTTGAACCTGATGGAAAAAGCAAAAGGAATAGGAGTAGGTAGCAAGGGGCGCCGGGTAGAACATACAAGCGGGTAGGCGGGGTACAATACGTACCAAGCAAGAAGCCCCGCAGTACGTACCAAGAAAGACGCACGTCGAAGCTAGTCTCCATGCATCTTGACAAAGATCAAAAAAAAAAGATGAGTAAGGTGAACTCAAATAAACGTTGCTCATGACGAGAAGGCATGAGCGAAGCTAAGAAGGGGGGCCGAATCAAGCATACAAGCGGTTCGCCTACACGAGCCGGGGCGAGTTTCATGGACTTTAGCGGGGGTTGAGAACCCCCCCGGGTTAACTCGAACCCTCGAACTCGAACTCCTCCGCCCCCCCCCCCGCCAAGATCTCGGATCCCAACCTTGGAACCAAACTCGAACTCGCAGCCCCCCCCCCTCTCCTGCACGCCAAAAAAAGAACCTCTCACCCCCAATCCCCTCCGGGGCCCTCCCACGATGACAGTTCGAACCCTCGCAATCGAACTCGAACTCAAACTCAACCTCCGCGTCCCCGACCTACCTAGGCAACCATTCGGCTTCGAAAACCGAGGCCATATCGCCCAGGACCTTGTTTTTGCATTTCGGAGTCCAAATCACTTTTTCGAAGCCATATGGTGTTTTCACGCTTGCAGATGTGAATTTTCACGTTTTTCACGCTCCAGGATGTGAATTTTCACGTTTTCACGTTTTTCACGGTCCAGGGTGTGAATTTTCACGTTTTTCGTGATTTTCACGCTCCAGGGTGTGAAATTTCACGTTTTCACGTTTTTCACCGTCCAGGGTGTGAATTTTCACGTTTTTCGTGATTTTCACGCTCCTCGGTGCGAATTTCCACGGTTCTCACGGCTTTCGCCGCGCTCAAATTTTTTCAGGTGTCAACCGCAGAAACAGAAACCCTACTTCGGCGGATGGGCAGGCCTCTTGTATCTAGATGGCACAGTTGTATCTGCTTAGCGCACTTGTAAGTGTAGTTGTTGCAGTTAGCACAAGTTGCCTAAGTGCACTTAGTGAACTTGGGTATGTCGAACTTAGCTCACTTGGAGACGCACTTGTAACTTACTTAGCTAAGTAGGCTAAGTAGGTCGCATGGTGGAAAAAATATATTTGTTCATGGGGCTCCATGGTTTAAAAAAAATCGCGCGGGGCATGTGTATACAGAGGATGCCTATAAACAACACACGTTTCTTAGACCTGTGAAACTAGAAAACACTTTCCCAAGGTGTAAAGTGAAAGTACCACGGGGCATGTATATACAGAGGATGCCTATAAACAACACACGTTTCTTAGACCTGTGAAACTAGAAAACACTTTCCCAAGGTGTAAAGTGAAAGTACCACCGGGAAATAATACACGTTCAAATTTTGTGGGCCACATGAAAACGATACCCCTCACGTGGTTTTGTTTCTTGATGGGCGGTATTTAAAAAGATGTTCCATCTTCCACCCTAAAAAAATGGACGGTTTTGATTTTTGAAAAATAGCCAAAAAGATTGGCATAGTTGAAAAACAATTCCAACCACATGTGGGCTCATGACAACCCATTCTGATATGGTTACATAAAAGGTGTAAATATAACTAACTAAGGCATCCCAGGGATGGAATATCTCACTGACATGTATATAGAGGAATCCAACGAAAAGATTATTCCCAATATTCTAAGAATTTCCCATCTCAATCTACTTGGTGTTGCCCTAAAACTTAGGTGTAAACCGCCCATAAAAACCAACTGATATTGCCCCACAAGGTATACAGCCACCAAATCTTTTATACTGTATTTCTAAAAACCACCAAAGCCCAAAGCATATTTGTATATATAATTGAATATATAATTTTATAATTATGTATATATATATATAATTAAATCAGAAAATTATATTTATATATATAATCAAATAAATATACAATCATATAAATATATAATCATATAAATATAATTATATATATATATACCCACCGTCACCCGGCGGCAACAGCTGCCCTGCGTGTGGCAGCCGCGGCAGCCTGCATTGCAGGCAGCATAGGGCTTTGTGGCCCCTGATTTGGGGTTGGGGATTAACCTATTATAATGGTGCCAAGATGGCATAGGTAATATTTACCACATATTTCTAAACCAGAGAAAAGGAAACCTGTTTCCTGGAAAGTAATTTTGTTTTTTTGATTCACCAATCAGCCAGAGCCTGCCTTGACAACAATCATCAGATACTAAGATACTATCAACATTTTTTTTCCAAGTTGTGTTGGTGACATAGTTTCACAGTTGCTTGCGCCTGCATCCTTTCCAATTTGCGACAGCATGTGGCTGGTTTGGGCTGTTCCCGTGTTTGCATTCAGACGCGTTGAAACAGCTTCCAATTTATTCATCAGGGCAAGGGATAGATTTGAATTCATCATTGGATAACCCAAAAATGACTTAGAATCAAGATCCGAAGGGTGGCCGGACCAGCTGCAACTGATGGAATATAATAGATGCTGAGCGTTTCCATGGGCTCCAAAAAACTTGATAGCATTCACTCAGCAAAATTGACCTATCTTTGAACAACAATACCCGTTTGGTCCATATACGATTCTATTATCGTTTAACAATAGGTTTGCCATTCTGGGGTATTTCTATTGTTGTTCAACAATAGGGCGGGAGATGGGGCTACCAACCTATTATCGTTCAACAATAGGGTACCTTTGGTGGCTCAATCCTATTATCGTTCAACAATAGGGTACCTTTGGTAGCTCAATCCTATTATCGTTCAACAATAGGCCATATATTTCAGAAAAGCTTGTTGTGGATTCACGGGGGTTCCAAGTTTACCTCATTACACTGTAAGCTATTGATTATAGATACACTTTCCAACTAAAAATATTGCACGCAAAGGGCCCTACATGGAAAACTTTTCCCGGTGGCTGAGCGATGCGGTGCTTGCTGCACAGACTAAGCAGCACCGTGACACTTCGTGAGGTGTCAAAACATCATAGCTGAAAGCAATCTGGGGTGGTTTGTGCCGACCTATGTAACCCCCAAAAATGGGCTAAATGTAGCAACCCTTGTTGGTATGGAAACAGCTGAATGGGAATCGAAATGCGTTCAATGGTTGTTAGGCGTAGTTAATTTCACTAGGCCTTGCAATCCCACTATTTACCCATGTTTCATAGTTAGTAAGCTAGCTCGTGCAGGGTTTCTTCCATTCACAATATATTACAGGGGGAACCCTTCTGATTGTTATCAGCACCCCAACAAAAAGCAAACAGTTCATGCCATCAAATCAATAGTTTAATACATTAATATATCAGACAATTTAACGTGATTTGCCAATGGGTCCGTGTAAATATGTCAAACTGCACCAAAATATGTTCTTTAATTGTTAATTATTGTTTTCTGAAAAATTATATATATATGGACATGTTTGAACATGGGCCTGGTATATGCCCTCCAAACTGTTATTTGAGAAACCAAGGAATAATCCATTGACATTGGAAATGCCATTTTCAGACACATCCATATATATATATATATATGTAACTCTTCAAAACCCTGCCACCACAATCGGGCAGTTCATATTGCCTGCATTTGCAGGCAGCCGCGGCGCCAATGCAGGTCCAGCCGTGCCGGGGCGTGACGTTGGCCCCGGTGATATATATATATATATATATGTGTGTGTGTACATATGCATATAGTATACATCCTTGTAGATGTATGTATGTCTGAGTGCGTATAAAGACACGTGTAAATGTGTAATTTATATGTGAATCTGAATATTTATATATATACATATATATATATATATATGTGTGTATCTATCCAAGGCCGTGGTGTACGCATGCAATGATATTTCTGGTTTTTAGATCTTTTTTTGGGACAAACAATTTAAATCTTTTTGTTGGACCACCAAAGGGGGAACTGAGAAACATATTAATCACATCATATCATATCAAAATGAGTCTCTTGATTTCAGCTACAGCTACCCATGATGGGGCCAAAAAACCACCAGGCCCAAACATATCCAAACCCGTTTATACCTTTGAAAAAAACATGTTGGATGTACGTATTCGTGTTTGGTGGGTGGATGGATTGACATATGCCAAGCCCAAATGAAGGAAAACAACAATACAACCACACTTTACTAGGGGGATTGCAGAGACAAACATTATAGTATAACACATATCTTTTCGTATCTTGTTCCCCTGCAGTATCTATATATATAAATATATACATATATTGTTAGTTGGCCTGCTACTTATATCTCTACTTAGCCTACTTAGCAAAGCAGGCCAACTAACATACAGCACTTATTGATAAGTAGTCTAAGTTCCACAAGACCTACTTGTGGAACTTACGTTTATCACCCTTAAGTAGGGCGTATGTTGGCGAACATACTTGCACAAAATATAAGTTGAAGGCTCCTACATAGAAGTTCACCAAGTAACGCTGGCAACTTATAAGTTCGCCAACATGATGTTAGCGAAGATACAACTGCTGTTACACTACTTGCAAGTTATGTTATAAGTTGTGCAAGTCGGCCATCTAGATACAAGAGGCCTGCCCATCCAAGGCAGAAGCCACGGTACCCGGAAAAACACAGGGTCCGCGCCCAAAAGCGTTTTCACCCGGAATTCACGCGCTCACGAATTCTGTTACCCTCCGCTACTCCCACACTCAAACTGCTTTTGCTCACTTCGCGGTTGACATAGGAGTGCCCTTGGACATCGTCCATAACTCGGAAGTTTTCAAACTAAAATCCTTCTGGTGAATATATCTATGTCTTTGGGATCTTGTAATGATATTCTTCCACAACTAAATTTGAAATATAAACTATGGTTATAATGCTGTATGAACACCTAGATGTTGGCGTGGGATAATGACGCAAACAAAGCATGAAAAGAAAACAAATTGGGAAATGTCCTAAAACATCCTAAAACTCTATTGGCTCATCAAACCATATGCAAATTCTCTTGGATGCCCAGGCTGGCTCAGTTAACAGCATGGCAGTGCAGCTGCTGGAGTTATCTCTGTTTTCAGGAAAGACGCAATATTTCCTTTATGGCATGGGCCATTTTGTTTAAATAACAACGCAGCAACTAATCTCGAGGTCAACGGTAGACACAACCAAAAAAAAAATATGTTTTCCAGGGAATATGTCTTTTTCCGGGCAACCTCGGACATTTTCGCGCGCGTTTTCTGTGGCTTCTGGTATGCATTTTTGAAAATTCGCGTTGTTCGTGCTTTTTCGGGGCCGTTGGCGCGCTTTTCGTGGCCATTAGCGCGTTTTTCGTGTTTATTTCGCGTTTTTCGTGTTTTTCGTGTTTTTCGATTTTCGTGTTTTTCGCGTTTTTCGTGATTTTCGCCTTGGTGGTTTTCGCAGCTTTGATTTCGTGATTTTTTCGATTTTTCATTGATTTTCGTGATTTCTCGGGCAGCTTTGGTCATTTTTCATTTTCACGTTTTTCACGCGTTTTCACGGTCATTCGGCGTTTTTGCACGGCCAATCGCACGCTTTTTCACGCTATCATTTTTTTGGTCGCTTGGCGATCATTACAAATGATACAAATTCTGCAGAAAACAGAACATGTGCGAAATAAACAGGCCCATTGTGGCAAGTAGTTTGTCTCAATCAAGCCCACGAGTTCAGGTTCGACACCCCATATGAAAATAGTTAGAGGTATGAAAGCGCCATGCGCATCGCATGGGTCAGGTGAAAAGTGGATCTAGCGGAGCTTCAATTCTTTCAGTACATCTTCCTCGGCAGGGTTCGCATGGTTTCACAAGAAGAAGTAAAATATGGGGTATTCTACAGAATTGGTAGGAAAACAAAACCGTGAAAAGTAATGACAAGTTTCCCATCCTTCAGGTATGACCATATACTTTGAACGGGCCAAGTAAACTGCCACAGACCACAAATCAGCCTCATGAAAGGGACGGGATCACATTCATTTTGTTCTCACATTGGAATTGCAAGAAGCTACACCCACAATCGTTTTTAAAACCTGCACATGGAAAGGCACGATGATTTCCCCAGTGCTCGAAACCAAGCAGCTTCATCCCAAAGATCGCCTAACGGCAAGCAGAACTTTCTGAACAATTCCAGGTCCGTGACATCCGTCGGAAACTCTGGGAGGCAGTTATAGGATCTGTGTTTCCGCGGTTTCGGGCCTCGATCTGGAGAAGCTGTGGGCAAAATGCGTGCAGGGACTTGTTGAATCAGAGCGCTGGCTCATATTGGACCACTGACGCTAGCTATTACAGGGTATGTTGGCCCGGCGAAGAACAACGTTGATTTTTTTCATTTTCGCACGATTTCCAAGGCAGGTGTCAATTTTCACGTGTTTCATGATTTTCACGCTTCCGGGTCTGAATTTCGTGTTTTCGCATTCACGGCGTGGCTTTTCATGATTTTCACGCTACAAGATGTGATTTTACACGTTTTTCACGCCTTTCACGCTTTTCACGGTCCAAGACGTGAATTTTCACGCTTTTTGTGATTTTCGTGCTTCCCAGTGCGAATGGTCACGCGGTCACGATCGCTGGTGTGGATTTTGGTGATTTTCACGCTTGCAGATGTGAATTTTCAAGTTTTTCGCGTTTTCACACTCCGGGGTGTGAAATTTCACGTTTTTCATGATTTTCACGCTCCCTGGTGTGGAGTTTCGTGTTTTCACGTTTTCACGGGGCCAAATCCATTTTCGAGGCCAAATCCCCTTTTTAAGGCCAAATGACTCAAACGGCCTCCGGCCTTGTTTTTCGAGTCCAAATGGCTCCCCAGGTAGAACTCGAACTCGAACTCGAACTCCTCCCCCCCCTCCCCTCGAACGATGACAGTTCGAACCCTCGAACTCGAACTCGAATCGCACTCCAACCCCTCCGCCAAAAAAAAAAAAAAAACTCCGCGACCTAGAACTCGAACTCGAACTCGAACTCCTCCCCCCCCTCCCCTCGAACGATGACAGTTCGAACCCTCGAAC